CCCCAAAACCCCAAAACCCCGTCTATACGAAATCAAAATGATATTCCAATAAATTTAAATATAAATGGCATAGAAACAAAGCAAGTGGCTAGGAGTTATTATTTTAGTGCTTTTCATTATAATTATTGAACTGGAACCATTCTATAGAAAATCCTTATTCGATATGACTCTAGAAGACGTACCTAGAATGCAACAAAAGAAAAGACTTTAAAGCTTTTTTGAAGGTGTAACCTTACTTGGTGAGGGGCAAGTACCTATGGTCGGACTCGTTATTGTTTTTAACCTCACAAACAAAATAAGCGCTCTCTACATAGTTGCTTCATTTGGTTTTATAGTTTTTCTTAATGCAAGCGTCATGAAATCTTTCTATCAAGAACCTAGACCTTATTGGGTATCTGAAGAGATTAAGCCTCAAAAATGCAGAACTGATTTTGGAAATCCTTCAGGCCATTCAATGACTACCTCCTTTTTCTGGGTTACTTTATATTTAAATTACTACTTTGAAGTGGGTTAGAAAAAGAAAATTAATACCATATTCTGCACAGCCTACATTGTAAAAATGGCTTTGACAGCAGGCTTAATCATATTCCTGATGTTTATGGCTCTGAGTCGAGTATTCCTAGGGGAACATAGCTATAATCAAGTATTTTTCGGAACTTAATTAGGGGTTTTTATGGCAGTTGCCTTGCATTATTGGATAAAACCGATTTTAAAAACTCTACCTAAAAAGCTAAGAAACGGTATGAACTCTGGTGGGAAAAATGCATTTTTTATAAGCCCTATTTTGATAGTGTTAGCAGTTATTTTATTTTTCATTCTGCCACTGAGCTTAGCTTATGGAGCATGGCAATACAATAAAAGTCTTAAAATTGATACCAGCGCATGGGATTAAAGACAAAAAGTTTTTTGTACTTCAGAGTAATTCTTAGAAACAACTGCAAAATTGAATAGGGGTTTTATGTAGTCAGGAGTAATCGGACAAACAGCAGGTGCTGTTTTAGGATAATTAGTAGAAATGAAGTTCTTAAACTTAAATCTATCTTATTACACCTGGAATAAGACTCAGCCAGCAGTAACAGCCATCAGAATTGCACTCTCTTTGATTATATTTTTACTCCTGGGCACTCCATACTTTTTAGTCAATACCTAACTTCCTGAAGATTAAATCTATTATCTGTTAGGAGTGAAGCATTTTATACCTACTTTTATGCAGTCGTTCTTTTTGTTTGCTTTTGCCAGAATAATATTCTATAAGATCAAATTGATAAATGAAATGGCAATCGGTAGAATGTTTGAAAATGAAGAAGTTGATGGAGATTTTGGATCTATCACTAGCAAAGGCAGCAACTCACTGGAATTTATGGAAATAGAAATGTCCTAGAAAATATGATTAGCTAAGTGAATCAGATTAAAATTTCATTTTTTAAAAATAACTGTAGCTTTGCGTTTTGGGGTTTTGGGGTTTTGGGG